GCGGGCCGCAGGGAGGGGGGGGCGAGGAGCGGGATTGGCAGGGGCGAGGAGGCATGATCAGCAGGGGCCGAGGCGTCCCGGGAGGGATGCCCTCCGGAGAAGTGGAGTGAGGGCACTGCTCTGGTTCCTTTGTGTGCCCACCGTAGCCGAGCTGCGGCCGCAGCGCCCTTTCTCCTTGTCACCTGCTCCAGCCCTCTCTCCAGCCCTTGTTCCCAGGTTAAGGATGATGCTTCAGCCTTTGGGATTGGGGGGTGGGTGCTGGCAGAAGGCCTGAGAGCAGAGCTGTGAGACTGTGTTTCTCAAAGTGTGGTTGTCCGGTGCACCTTCCCCAGAATTCCCTGGCTTGACTGTTTAAAGCCCCATTCCAGATCTTGGAAATCCGAATCCCTGGCGTGTGTGTGTGTGTGTGTGTGTGTGTGTGTGTGTGTGTGTGTGTAGCTTGGGAATTTGCCCTGTTGGGGTGAGGGGGTGTCTTCTGCCCAGTCCTGCTCGCAGGCACTCAAAGGTTGAAGAGCTGTCATAATCTGGCCTCTGGATCAGGTCTGCCCCCAAGCCCCCAGGGCCAGCCCATGTCCTTGTTGGGGCCTTCTGGTGGCACCCCCAAAGCTCCTGCTGGTGCATGACGAGAGAAATGCCCCTTTGGGTTTCACTATTTAGCCAAACACACATGCTTCCCTCTGCTCACCACATGGAGTCCTGTAAAATGTGTAATATGGATTATACCTCATTATAAAACATTTTTTACACATTGAGGAAAATTCCCTGTTCATAGGAATCCTACGGTGAATTCTCTTTCAAAATAAATCATCCTGTTATACAGTTAACAAGTCCCTGATTTATTTTGTACAAATGGAGAGTCTCACATAGATACTTTGTTCAAAACAAGTCAGACCTGCCTGGCCGGTGTGGCTCAATGGCTGAGCGTCTACCTGAGGTCACAGGTTCGATTCCCAGTCAGGGCACATGCCTGGGTTGCGGACTCAATCCCCAGTGAGGGGCATGCAGGAGGTAGCTGATCAGTGATTCTTTCTCATCATTGATGTTTCTATCTCTCTTCCCCTCTTCCTTCCTCTCTGAAATCAATAAAAATGTCTTTTAAAAACCACAAAAACAGCCCTAGCCGGTTTTGCTCAGTGGATAGAGCATCAGCCTGCGGACCAAAGGGTCCCGGGTTCAATTCCAGTCAAGGGCACATACCTTGGTTGCAGGCTCCTCCCCAGCCTGAGCCCCAGCATGAGGCAACCAATCGATGTGTTTCTCTCACATCATTGTTTCTTTCTGTCTTTCCCTCTCTCTTCCATTCTCTCTAAAAATCAATGGGAAAATATCCTCGGGTGGGGATTAACAAAAACAAAACAAACAAAAACAAGTCAGACCTTGAATGAAAGCTACTCTTCTAGCCTTAGAATAGATTTCTGGACAGGGAGGGGCAGTAGTTGAGAACACCACATGGGGGCAGTATAGAGCCATCCTTTACGCTGGGCTATTCACTTGCCAAGGATTCTCTGGGGTGCTTTTGGAAGACAGAAGCAGCTAGTTGGTCAAGAATAGTCCAATTCCACCCGAAGTCACGTCCCAGGGGAGAATGTCCCCCCACACACACACACTCTGAGTCCCTAGGAGTGTGTCCCTGGACCCTGTTGGCAGGTGGTCCAAGGGCACCAGCTCCCTCTCCTCTCAGCATCTCCTCCAAGCCCAGGGTGGCAGAGGTGCAGTCCTCACCAGCTTCACGTCATCACCTCCTGCTCCAGGGATTGGGGTCAGGGGGTCAACTAGCCTCCCTTGGACAGTGCCCCCCCAGTTTGGCAGCATAGGAAAGTCCTCAGGAGCCATCCTCTCTCTCCTCTGTCCTCTCTCCTTCCCAGCTTTCCCCAAACACTTCTGCAGCTCCCCGCCTCAGCCCCTAAGTCTACGATGGTCTGGCCCTGTCAGGGCACATGCCTGGGGCAGAAGGAGGCTCCCAGGCCAGAGAAAGGAGGAGTCACCTCTGCCCCCTTAGAGAGGACAGAGCACGAGGCCACACAACACCGTTGTCGCCCCTTGAGCAGGCAGAGGAGTGGGCTGTGGAAACCCCAGCCAGGCGGGCGGAGAGGGGGGATAATTTAGCAGGTGGCCTCCTTACTCCCAGATCTGTTACCATGGTAACCTGGTTTTTTCTTTAAAAAATGTACAGTGCCAAGAGGAGGAAGATGGCTGACAAAATCCTCCCTCAAAGGGTGAGTGCCTTTCACAGAAGCCCCCAGCAGACCCCCACCCCTTGCTGCCCCACCTCATTTGTCTCCCCTCCCCCTAAGGAGCAGAGCTTCAGCGGTCACAATCACTTTTACTTTTTGTTTAAAAAGCTAATTAAGAAGTGAGGCTCCCCAGGCCAGAGGGAGGGGGTGGGATAGAGGGAAGGAACAGAACCCAAAGGGGTAGCATCCTGGGCCTGGGGTGCAGTGGACTGAATTGCAGCGGTCCAAACACATGCTGAGCTCGGGGGGCGTCGGCGGGGGGATAGCTGGTTTAGACATCAGTTGGAGTGACTGGGTGAGGTGCCAGGGCAGAGGCAAGCAACCACATCCCCTAACTGCCTCAGGGACACCAAGGTCCTAGCCAATTTGCAGACACCCAAGGAAAGCCCAGAGGCTGTGTGACAAAGGAAAGGACCAGAGGAGGAGGTGAAGCCCGAGTTTGTTGGGGTCCATGGTGGCTCTGGCCTTCCCTAATCATGAAATGCATGGGTCTCCCTAGAGCAGCAGTTCTCAACCTGTGGGTCGCGACCCCTTTAGGGGTCGAACGACCCTTTCACAGGGGTCGCCTAAGACCATCGGAAAACACATATATAATTACATATTGTTTTTGTGATTAATCACTATGCTTTAATTATGTTCAATTTGTAACAATGAAAATACATCCTGCATATCAGATATTTACATTACGATTCATAACAGTAGCAACATTACAGTTATGAAGTAGCAACAAAAATAATTTTATGGTTGGGGGTCACGACCACATGAGGAACTGTATTAAAGGGTCGCGGCATTAGGAAGGTTGAGAACCACTGCCCTGGAGGGAGAAGCAGTTTTTGTCCCTATACCTGAGACTGCTACTGCTGGGTACGCAGTCCTGGGGAGAGGTCCCATTCTCACTCTCAGAAGTCCCAGAACCAGCCAGCTCCCCTCCATCTCTGTACCTGGAAGCACGTGATACGCACACATTCCACCTACAAGACTGGCTGAGCCCCTGTTCCCTGCCTTGCTCCTCCTCTTCCAGATCCGGGAGCTGGTCCCTGAATCCCAGGCTTACATGGACCTCCTGGCGTTTGAGAGGAAACTGGATCAAACCATCATGCGGAAGCGGGTGGACATCCAGGAGGCTCTGAAGAGGCCGATGAAGGTGCCTTGGTTTAGGGGTGGGAAGGCGCTCTACGTCCTGTTCCCAGAATGGAGATGTGGGGTTGCGGGAAGGGCACACAGTGCTTGCTCTGTGGGACACTCTTTATTTCTACAGCAAAAGCGGAAGCTGCGTCTCTATATCTCCAATACGTTTAACCCTGCGAAGCCCGATGCTGAGGATTCTGACGGCAGCATCGCCTCCTGGGAGCTGCGGGTGGAGGGGAAACTCCTGGATGACGTACGTCTTGGCCCAGGTCTCTCCAGGTGTCCTGGGGTGGGTATGGGGCTGGACTGAGGACAGAACTAGATGTTTGCACTGAGGGTTAGGGAGTCAGCCCTGCCCAGGGTGGGTGGCCTGGAGGGACATCAGGGGTGCAGAGGCCTGCTTCTAACCATGCTGCCCTACCCAACCAGCCCCACCCCCTCCCAACTCATTCTGCCCCCATGGTCCCTGTTCTGCCCCCACAGTCCCTGTTCTTCTCCCACAGCCCAGCAAGCAGAAGCGAAAGTTCTCTTCCTTCTTCAAGAGTTTGGTCATTGAACTAGACAAAGACCTTTATGGCCCTGACAACCACCTAGTTGAGGTAAGACCCAGACCCCATATTGCCCTAGAATTGCCACCCTTCCACAGGCCCAAGTCCTGCAGTCCCATCAGCTGCACAGATTTGCACCAGGGACCACCCTAGAGCCCCAAGCCTCACCAGCCCAAATGGGCCTGTGACGTGACCCAGCTCTTCTCCCCTGGACAGTGGCACCGGACGCCCACCACCCAGGAGACGGATGGGTTCCAGGTGAAGAGGCCGGGGGACCTGAGTGTGCGCTGCACGCTGCTCCTCATGCTGGACTACCAGGTCCGTGCCAGTCCCCCACCCTTCAGGCACCATGAGGCCTTTGGCCACCCACACCCTTTCTCTTAGACAGGTGGGCGAAGGCCCCCAAGGTAGGCATCCCAAGAGACCCATCCTCACTAACCCCGTCTCCAGAAGCACATTTCCAAGGAGCCCAATCACCATGTCGTACCCCCCACTTCCACCCCAGTCCCAAGCTGCCTGGCTTTGAGCTCTTTCCACTCCCTAATTTTCATGGTCACCTTTTCACAGCCTCCCCAGTTCAAACTGGATCCCCGCCTGGCCCGGCTGCTGGGCTTGCACACGCAGAGCCGCTCAGCCATCGTCCAGGCCCTGTGGCAGTATGTGAAGACCAACAGGCTGCAGGACTCCCATGACAAGGAATACATCAATGGGGACAAGTATTTCCAGCAGGTACCCTGAGCCCAGGGACGTGGGGAGCAGACAGAGTCACCGGTAGGGGAAGTGCCTCTACTAAGGTAATACCACCCCTATCTTTAGATTCTCAGGTATTAGAAACCATAGTCACTCTCTCAGAGCCAGAGACCAGGGTCCTAGTCCAGGCCCTACCATGGTGTAGCTCTGTGCTGCATTTTTGCCATCCCAGATCAGAGAGGAGTGGAACCCCAAAAAGCTCTCAGGAATGTAATATTCTTGGCACTCAGAGTTGGATCTCAGGGGGTCTGGTCCTGGGTCCTGACTCTGGGTGAATTACTTGGCCATTTTGAGCCTTGTTCCTTATCTGTCCCATCTAACCCACTGGGCAGTTAGGAAAATCAAATTGCTATGAAAGGGGTTTGACAAAAATTCTACCAAAGTAGAGATTTTTTTTTAATCCTCACCCGAGGATATCTTTTTATTTGTTTAATTTAAATATATTCTTATTGATTTCAGAGAGAAAGGGAGAGGGAGAAAGAGATAGAAACATCGATGAGAGAGAATCATGGATCTGCTGCCTCTTGCACAGCCCACACTGGGGATCGAGCCCGCAACCTGGGAATTGAATCGTGACCTCCTGGTTCATAGGACGACACTCGACCACTAAGCCATGCTGAGGATATCTTTTTAAAATATATTTTTTATTTCAGCGAGAGGGAGGGAGAGGGAGATAGAAACATCAGTGATGAGAGAGAATCATCAATCCACTGCCTCCTGCACACCCCCTACTGGGGATCGAGCCTGAAACCTGGGCATGTGCCCTGACTGTGAATCGAACCATGATCTCCTGGTTCATGGGTCAGCATTCAACCACTGAGCCGATACTTTTCCCCCAGTGACCTTTTTAGGGAGAGTGGGAGGGAAGAGGGAAAGAGAAACATCAATGTGAGAAACACATTGACTGGTTGCCTCCTGCATGTGCCCTTATGGGGCTGGGGATAGAACCTGCAACTGAGGTATGTGCCCTTGACCCAGAATTGAACCCATGACCCTTCGGTCCACAGGCTGACGCTCTAACCACTGAGCAACCAGCCAGGGCAGTAGAGATTCTTCTTAATACATTTTAAATAAATACAGCAGATAAACCTGAGGAGTAAAAAGAACAGTTGATGTTTATTGAGCACATACCACGTGTCAGGCAGGTATGTTCCAAGCACGTTGAGTGTATTGATGCACTGAATTCTAACCACAACCCTGAGAGAGGGGTACTACTATTATCCCCATTCTAGAGATGAAGAAACTGAGGTCTGAGTCATTAAGTAACTTGCTCAGGCTGCAGAGTAAGTGGTGGGAGCAGGATTTGTATCTAGGCAGGCAGACCCAGGGTCCATCCTCAACCACTGCACCGCACCAGCCCATGGGCCCCTAGTTTCAGACCCGTGAATCAGATGCTCCTGGCTTCTTGTGGCCTTTCCAGAAAGGATCTAGAACTGTAGTTATGCTCTTTCCAAGCACAAAAGAGTGACCTCTTCCTCCTGCCTCAGATTTTTGATTGTCCCCGGCTGAAGTTTTCTGAGATTCCCCAACGCCTCACAGCCCTGCTGTTGCCCCCTGACCCAATTGTCATCAATCACGTCATCAGGTGAGGCCCCTGCTTGCTCCTCAGACCGGGGAATCATTTCCTCCTGTCCTGCCTGTCCCGCCCATCCCAATGCCCCCTCCCTCCCCACTGCGCCTGCCCTGGGGCCCTTGGCCTCTGTGGGGGCAGGTGAACTCCAAGGGCTGGACTTCCTGGCAGCGTGGACCCGTCGGACCAGAAGAAGACGGCGTGCTATGACATTGATGTGGAGGTGGAGGAGCCACTGAAGGGGCAGATGAGCAGTTTCCTCCTGTCCACGGCCAACCAGCAGGAGATCAGCGCTCTGGACAGTAAGGTGGGGCCAGAGCCCAGAGCTGCAGTGGGATGTTAACCCAGAAATGACAGAGTACAGACAGAATAGACACGAGCATGGGCCTATGGAGAGATGAAGGACTTAACACCCCCTCCCCTGGGACTGCAGAGACCTGGGGCCCGAGGGACTGTTCTTCCAAGGAACAGCAGCAGCCCTTCCCCCATGTGCCTCCCTCCCCCTCCCCCCTTCTTCCACATCACCACAGCCAGGTGAAAGCTTCTGTCTTTCTACCTGTAGATCCATGAGACGATTGAGTCCATAAACCAGCTCAAGATCCAGAGGGACTTCATGCTAAGCTTCTCCAGAGACCCCAAAGGCTACATCCAAGACCTGCTCTGCTCCCAGAGCCGGGACCTCAAGGTGAAGGGGACTTGGGGAGCACTGGATGGAAGACAAGCATATCAGGAAGACAGTAAAGGTTGTACACAGGGGCAGGAAGGGCCCGGGCTCAGGGCTGACTCCATTCTCCCTCCCAGGTGATGACAGATGTGGCAGGCAACCCTGAGGAGGAGCGCCGGGCTGAGTTCTACCACCAGCCCTGGTCTCAGGAAGCGGTCAGCCGCTACTTCTACTGCAAGGTGTGAAGGGGCCCGGGCACCTCAGGCCCCTCCTCACTGAGAAACTTCCTTCCTCAGCCTCCAGTGCCCTTGCCACTCCACCATGTCCCTCACCTCCTGGGAGCCCTCCCTGCTCCCAGATGCTCTTCCAGGGTGGGCAGCGGGTGGTTGGGGTCGTCCTGTCACTCACCAGCAACACGTAACCCTGCTCCTGCTCTGATTTCTCTAAAGATCCAGCAGCGCAGGCAGGAGCTGGAGCAGTCGCTGGTGGTGCGCAACACCTAGGAGCCCTGCAAATGAGCACTGCGGGCCAGGGCCGCCTGACCCAGGCTCTGCCAGCACCCCTCTGCCCACCTGTGGGAGGTGGGGAACTGGATTAAAGGTCATTCATCTGCTAGCAGCTGTGTGGTCATTGGCAACTGGGAGAGAGGAGGAAGGGGGAGGCAGTAGGTCCCTCTGGGAAAACTCCCCAGCCCCTCCCTGAGATTCTTCTCCTGACTCCGTTTCCCTAGACCTAAAATCACTTTGGCAGAAGACACTTTTTAATCACATTTTCTTATTTTAAAAAAAATACAGCCACAAGCTCTCCATCCATCTTGCCTTGCCCTCCTGGGGCTGAGGCAGAAAGGGGAACCACCTGGCAGCCCGAGGCTAGGTGCTGTTGCCCTGCTCCTGCTCGAACAGGGCCATGGCCAGCTGGGCCCGGCCAGCCAGCCCCTCCAGGTTGCTTAGGCGGCAGCGGTGATAGAGTTCCTCACTGAGCCGAGGGCTGCAGTCCCGCAGGGAGAACTTCTGCACCAGCCCTGGCTCCACGGCTCGGAAGAGGTGGAGCCCTGAGAACCGGAGGAACACATCCATCACCTCCAGCCCCTCCAGGGCTTCCTCCTCTTCCTGGCCTGCCAGTTCAGCAGCCAGCCGTGCGCGGGCAGCCAGGTAGTCGGCATTGTAGAAGCAGCCCTCCGCGGAAGCCTGGCGGTCAAACCGGCCTCCTCCAGGACCCCCCCGGGCAGGGTCAGCACCAGGAGGGGATGGGGGGTCAGGGCCAGCCCCCGGGGGAGACTTCTGTGGTGCCAGAGCGGGGTGGAACTCCTGGAAATGGACGGGGAAGAAGGCCTGCCAGCCAGAGATGGCATTCATGCGGCAGCGGTTGAGCACCTCTGGTCCAGGCCGGGTCCACACAGTGGTGAGGAAGAAAAGCGTGTCCACCGGGTGCTTCTTGGACACCACGTCCATGAGCCGTACCTGGGAAGGGGCCTCCGCCCGCACTGCGAGCCAGGCCAGCCTCGTCCCAGGGTACCGTCGCTCCAACTCGGCCACTGCAGCCTTCACCCCGAGAAACGGGTCCAGGGCCCCTCGGCCACCTTCCTGTGGCCCATAGACCAGCAGGAGGGTGAGCAACACGTGCTCTCGTGGCTCCAGAACGCTGGCCGCAAAGGCCTCGAGGAAAGCAGGGGCCAAAGCAGCTTCCGCCACCAGGAGCGGCAGCACCAGCTGCACACGGGTGGCCTCCGTGACATAGGGCATAGGCAGGATTTCCACTCGACTCAGCGGCCGAAGCAGGCTGACCCTGCGGGCCAGAGCCCGCCGGTGCCCACGCTGCGTCACAGCTTCCAGCAGTAGGTCCAGGGTGTACTCCATGCCCCGCGCTGGGTCGAAGCGCCGGTAGCCATTGAGCAGCCGCTGCTTCTGGAATCGCAGCCGGGGCTGATAGCGCCGATTCAGCTGCTCCAGAGCCGTCTCCACAGCATCGCCCACGTCCGCCCGGCTAGCTCCTTGCAGTGGGCACTTGGGCGCCCCATCTGCACAGGAGAAGGTGTGCTGTTCTGTGAAGTAGTCCCAGCCCAGCACCTCAAATCGAGAGCGTGGTGTGAACGGGGCCGGGAGCCCCACAGGCCAGCTCAGCCCTGCCTCCCCCTCGGGGGTCAGCACGGTCAGGTTCCGGATCTGAGCCTAGGGCAGGAGGGACACACAGTTAGTCAAACCGGGGGAGCTAGGTAGTCCACAGGACCCGCCCCGCCCTGGGCTCTGCGCTCTGTCCTGACACTTAGTGGGGTGCCCCTTGGCTAACCACTCAATTCCCTGTACCTTACATTCTTCCTCTATAAACGCAGTAGGCATATGAATTACACCCCCTGTACACAAATGCAGTGAGGAGGCCGGCGGGGAGGAATGTGCTTTGGCAGACAGACCTTAAAGCATCCTGAAATACAATGCTCAACGGCTCCCCCTCCAAAACCCAAAGTACTCGCATCCTCCTGAGAACACACCTTTGTGTTCACCTGTTCTTCACCTCTGACAACCCCACAATAAACTAGAATATTCTTCAAACCCTTGGTTTTTTTAGGACAGTGATAGAAATTAGGGGACTTTGGGGTTGTGGCCTCCTTGGTGGAGAGGCGCACTGTTCCGAGCCCTGACCCTCACAGTTCACCATCAAACCCTTCTAACTGCATCCGGGTCTTTCCAGGAGCTCATCTGATGATTGGCCTGGACCCAAGAGCCCCTTCTCTCTGGAGCTGTTTTAAATTTAGGTACAGTTAGCCCTAGCCTGTCTGACTCCATGGATAGAGCACTGGCCCGAGGACTAAAGGATCCTGGGTTTAATTCCAGTCAAGGGCATGTACCTCATTTGCAGGCTTGATCCCCGGCCCTGGTCGGGGCACATGTGGGAGGCAACCAATGAATGTGTCTTCTCTCTCTCACATCGATGTTTCTTTTTCTGTCTCTCCCCTCCCTTCCACTCTCTCTAAAAATCAATGGAAAAATATCCTCGGGAGAGGATAAAAAAGAATTTAGGTATGGTCAGCTTCTTCCTACCCTACCAGCCTCCCCCTCATTCCAGCCGACCCGGCTCACCTGCAGTTGCTCTATTTCGCTGTATGTCTGCTCCAGCTCCAGAGTGCTGAAGCGCTTGTGGAGCCGGTACATGAGGGTCCCCTCCGATACAGGGTGCACTGCAAAGGCACTCAGGAAAGCCGAGCTCCCCTCCTTCTCCGGGTCTCTATTTTTGGCCAGTTCAAATGAGCGATACTGCTGCCCCTAGAGGGACCAATCAGACCAATCAATCCCACACACGGAGGGCTGCCCGTCTCAACCAGCCCTGACCAAACCCAGCATTCACCCCTATGACTGCTGCTGCCGTGCAAGGACAGAGGAAGCGGAGGCTCAGTCCAGTGTCCCCTTAACCTTGGCCTTACTCTCACTGCTAAATTTTGGAAAAAACAATGTTCAGTAGGCAACTAAGGGTACCCTCTTCCCCAGAGAGCCCTACTGTTTCTCCAGGGAATGAACACCACGAGCCAGCAAGTACTCCTACGATGCTGGTCTCAAAGACAGGGCAGCTCTCAGGGCTAGAACAGGGATTACCTCACTTCTCCAAGAGAGTAGCCATCTCTAGAACATTCCCAGATTGTTCACGACTGTGCGTGTGTCAGGGCAGATGGATGGAGGACTGAGGAGGGGGCACCTTTCTATCTTCTCACAGGGTCCCTGACAAGATGCCCCCGGGGCTAAGACTGCCTGAGGGCAGCAGGGCAGCCAGAGGCACACTCCCTATCTGTGAAGGGCAAACCAGAGGCCGCATGTGCTGCTGGGAAGGAGCCAGCATCACCTAGCCTGGAGACCAATCCCTCAGTCACTACTAAGTTGTCAGAGACCCGGACAGACTTGAAAGGGCTGTCACCTGGTGCTGTGAGACACAGCCGATACCCAGAGAGTCGATGAGGCAGCGGCCAAGCCACTCATCAGGACGGGCACTGAGAATGTCCCCTCGGCAGCCATCCAGATGTGGCCGCAATCGAAGCAGGAGACTCCGAGACAACAGGTAGCCAAAGCCCCCATGGCAGTACCGGGCCTGCTCGCCGGCGCCAATGAACTCCTCCGCCCGGCCCAAATACAGGTCTTGGTTGATGCTGAGGTGGCCAGCAAGGGCTGCCAGGCGGGGGGCCTGCACATACGTGTCATCCTGCATGATGAAGAACCAGTCGTAGTCGGCCCCAAAGTGTGTGTGGAGATGGCGCAGGGTCTCCGACATGAGCCAGGCCGGTCGCTCGTCCCCATGAGATACCACCTGCATCCCTGCTGGAGCCCGGGCCCCCCGCTGCCCAGTGAAGTAGAGCAACCGAGGGAAGTGGTGGGCCACTGTGCGGTTCACAGCCACGGCCAAAGTGGACAGCGTGGCCCGGGAAGTCAGGACAGCCACCAGCAACCGCTCCCGAGAGCCCAGCTCTGTCTGGATGTACCGAGTCCTGTGGAGAGACCGGTCTGTCAAGGGTCAGCTCCCTCATCTCAGGAACCCAGGTTGTATAGCATACACATCCCTCTAGAAATGAGGTAGTTGAAGGTGAGAAAAGAGAAGAGACCTCCTCATCAGTATTAATTAGCTCCTGGAGTAAGCATCCTCTGAACAGCTGACATTGGGGAGGGGCTTACTAATGATGGACTAGACGAAGTAGATGCAATTCCTACCCTATCTAAGAACATCCAGCACTAATGTAACACCAATAGGTGAGACTTTCTTAGACTGAGGAAGCGGGGGAAAAAAGAAATAGAACCACGATGGTAAGAATTGCTCCACGGGCCCAACACAGATTACCACTGAAGGCAGAGGCAAGGCCTTAGAGCAGCCCTAAAGTGGGGTCGGGGGCTATGCACACATGCAGCTCTCACCTCAGCACCTTCTTGTAAGGCTTGTTGGGATCCCTATAGTAGGGAACAATCCGGGGTTTGAACTCTTCATCACTTTGGTCAAGCCCAATTCTTGAGTCAGGATTCTGCAGGCCTCCTGGTTCCCCCATAGCCTCTACACAGGGATCTTCTCCCTCACCCTGGATCCAGGAAACCCGCAAGAGGCTCAGGCTGCATCCCAGAGACAGCCCCAGGATGAGGGGCAGCGCTGGTCGCAGGAGAGCCAACAGGGAGCTCAGTCGCATGGTGGTAGGCCCTGCTGTGCGCATGCTCCGGAGGGCACAGCCTCAAGGATCACTCAGTGGGTTGACGGGTGCCAGGCCAGTGGTAGGCATGCAGTTTTAACCAGGGAACCTGGGGTCCATGAGCTCAGCAGCAGAACAAGGCGTGTTTGCTTCCAGGCCCAGCATCCCCAGTAAGCTGGACGGTCCCGTCTTCACAATCCTGTCTGGCTGATCTCCAGTTATCAAAGTGCCAGATCTAACCCTCAGTCCAGACGGTAATAAATATTAGACTCCAATTCGCCCACTAACGGCTTATGGCCTGTCTTCCCGTAGAAAAGGGAGGCAACAACACTCACTCCTGCCAAACGTAACCCAAAAAGGCCCACGCACATCTGTAGACCAAGTCACGAGCCAGCAGCAGCTGCTACAGAAGGGGTCAGGGGAAAGCACCTGCTGCATCAGAACAGGGCGCCACCCGAGGCGCTGCCCCCTACCCTTCCCCAGAGCCTGGGGACCCTCCGCCCAGTCAGGAGGGGGCGAGAGCCACTGGCATGGCACACGGAAGCTCTGCCCACCCAAATGAGGGGGCAGAGAGCGAGCCCCAGCCCCCAGCTCTCACAGGGGCACGGTGGCTGCCGGGGCCATTTTGCAGCACCTCCTTCCCCAAGCCCAGATGCTCAGAGGCGGTGCTGCCACCTCCCTCTCCGGGAGGACAGGAGGCAATTAGCAGTAACTGCGGAGGGCGGTGTCAGAGCCCCTCGCTGTCCCGTCGTACCAGGGCCCCAGGTTCCCAAACCAAACCAAGCCAAACCGAGAGGCCGAGGAGCGGCTCGAGGCCTCGCGGGTTCTGTACAGGCTGGCCGCGGCGCTCCCTCTGCGATCACGGACCCATCCCAGTCCTGGAAAGAAGGCCCAAGGCGACTGTTAGCTGTTAGTCTCCAAACAAACAAAACCGGCTGCGTCACGGAGCTGCCGAGGGCGGGGGACTGAGAGGAGGGCCAGGACCCCGTGCCCGGGGCTTCCGCGGGGCCGCAGGGGGAGGCCCGGCAGCAGGCCCGGGGCGAAGGGGGGAGGATGTGACCGCCGCGAGCAGCGCCGTCACCGGAGCAGGGCGAGGGCGTGGGGCGGGGGGAGGGCGGGAAGGAGGAACAGACCCCAGGTCCCGCCGAGGCGCCGGCTCCACCGCGGCCGCTGCCACCTCACGGCCCGGCCCCTCCTTCCTCTTCCGCCCGCTGTCAGCCCGTCTCTATGGTGACCGCATCCGGCCGCTCGCTCCGCCGCGCCCTCTCTATGGTCTCCCGGCTCCTCCTCGGGACCGCGTGCCGCCGCCCCTCTTGAGCCAGCGAGCGCTCCACAGCTGCTCCTCCGAGTGGCCCTGGGGGCCGCAAACCTTCCACCCCAACTCCCATCCCAACTCCCATCCGCCCTGGAAAGTACCCCCCAGTGATCACGGTTCCGCCCCGGGACTCTCCCCGCGGCTCCGGAACCCGCCGCTCGGCTCCGTCAGGCGGCCAGGTGTTGCCCTGGAAGTTGCCGGCCATCGTCGTGGGTACCGAGTGCCCGGGCCGGGCGGGTGGGCGTGGTCCCTCCCTCGGGAGCTGAGAGTCTCACACTGACCGGCAGAATACACACGGGCAGAAGTCCCGAGCTGTCACACGCGCCACGGCAGACACGGCGAGTCCCGTGGGAAAACACGACAGGACGAATTAGAGTGGGAATTTGGGAAGGCTGAGAATCCAGAGTTTCAGTGAGTCACCCAAACGAAATGTGAGTTTTCCAGGTAAAAAGCCGAGCCCAGAAAGAGGAGAGAGGCTGGCTGAGAGAAGACCTGGGGAGGCCGGGGCAGCTAGGGCCTGGAGAGGGGGGAACACAGCCCGGGGCCGGCGGGGCTTCTGACAACCACCGAGGCTCCGGCCAGGACGGCACATCCTCGGGGGTAAGCGGGAGGTGTGCAGGAGCAACTTTGTTGCCAAATGTTAAAGGGGAAGAGCCAAGAACGTCAGATGCCTTGCACATTGTAAGACAGTATCACACCAAGTAACAATGGTCTGTCCCGGGGCTTTACCACGTCCTACTGGCCCAGCCCGTGTGAATCAGTGGTTGAGCGTTGACCCATGAACCAGGCAATCACAGTTCCAATCCCGCTCAGGGCACATGCCTGGGTTTAGACTCCATCCCCAGTTGAGGGCTGCAGGAGGCAGCCAATCAATGATTCTCTCATCATTGATGTTCCTATCTCTCTCCTTCTCCCTTCCTCTCTCTGAAATCAATGAAAACACATTAAGAAAAAAAAAATTGCCCTATTGAACATTCATGTAAGTGAAATATATTTTCTAAAAAAGTGTTTGCTATTAAAAGGGAACACCAAAGCTAATAGAGTTTAAGAACCATCATTCTAGGAAGTATATAAGATAGAACTCACCAGGACTGCTATCCTTTGCTGCGTTTTGATCTTATCCTCAGACCACAACTTGAGCTCCCCTCAGCAGCTGGCACATAAAAGGTGGTAAATGACTTGTTAGAAGAAGCTCTAGAAAGGAGAATAGGGACAATCACCTGGACGTGGGATGATAACAGGTTCCAGATAAGCATTATCCAATAGAAATATAATCTGAGCCACAAATGTGAGCCATATATGTAATTTAAATTTTTCTTATATATGTCTTATTATAATATTAAATATATCCAAAATATTTCATTTTTTAATACATATATTTTTACTGATTTCAGAGAGGAAGGGAGAGGGAGAAAGAGATAGAAACATCAATGATGGGAGAGAATCATTGATCGGCTGCCTCCTGCACGCTACTGGGGATGGAGCCTGAAACCCAGGAATGTGCCCTGACTGGGAATCAAACTGTGATCTCCTCTTTCATAGATCAGGGCGACACTCAACCACTAAGTCACGCAGGCTGGGTTCCAAAATATTATTTCAACATATAACCAATATAAAAAGTTGACATATTTTACATTCTCCCTCCCCCCCCATATGCAATCTTTGAAATTGAATGCATATTTGATACAGCTTATCTCAATTCAGACCAGTCACATTTCAGGTTCAAGTTCAAGTGCTCCATAGCCACATGTGGCTAGGCTACCACAGTGAACAGCACAGTTCCAGACCCTTCTCACTGAGTTCCTAGGTAATTCTGGATGAGATGTTTCCTTCCTTGGGTCTCATTTCTTCATATTTAAATGACGAGTTCAGACCTAGTGTTCTTGCTTGCAGCACTGACCTTCTGTGATTTTTCATATTTAGCCAGTCCTTCCCTACTCTACCTACCTCTCTCTCTCTCTCTCTCTCTCCCCATTTCCCCATTTCTTCTCCCCTCATTGCCAGATCTGTTCCCTGAAAGATATGTAAACCCTGGGTGAGAATGGCAGAATTTCTAAGTGGCCAACAAGTTTTCTAAGCCACTCATGCTGTGCTGAAGGAAGACTGCCAAGCAACTGTCGATTCATGAGAAATCCTGGAGATGATTGGTGGCTATGTAGGTGGCTTCTTGAAGTAACTGGTTATAACCTGAGCCATTTTAGAGCTGGAGTTCTGGAACCAGCAAATTCCAGCCTTAAATCCTGCCACTGTCTCCTACCAGCAGTGATGTGTTATTAACAGCTCTGTGCCTTTGTTTCCAATATGTAAAATGGTAATAATACCCACCTTGGGGTTTGTTGGGGGAGATTAAATGGATTTGCATAGCCCTAACCTGTTTGGCTCAATGGATAGAGTGTCGGCCTGCGGACTCAAGGGTCCCAGGTTCGATTCCGGTCAAAGGGCATGTACCTTGGTTGCGGGCACATACCCAGTGGGGAGTGTGCAGGAGGCAGCTGATCGATGTTTCTCTCTCATCGATGTTTCTAACTCTCTATCCCTCTCCCTTCCTCTCTGTAAAAAAACCAATAAAATATATTTTTTAGAAAAAAATGGATTTGCATAGATGAAAGGGCATAATAAATGTTAGTTCTCTGTAACCTGTAGCCTGCCCATAACCAGACATTTTAATGAGGCTGGGAGAGGGAGGCATATTTTAGACAGGTGCTTGGAAGAAAGGCTTTGCTCAGCTATTGTCTATATTCTTTACCTAAAACAATGCTTCTGTCCAGAGTAGATGCTTACTATTTGTCAAATGTATTAAATAAAATAAATATTCAGTATATACTTAGGCAAGGATTCTACTAGTAGCAAAAAAGGCAAAAGGAAGCCTATCAGAACTCTGGTTAAGTAATTATTAGCCAGTTTACAAGAATTAAACTCTAATCCTGCCCTAGCCAGTAGTTAGAACATCGGCTCTCGACTGAAGGGTCTCAGGTTCGATTCCAGTCAAGGGCATGCCTGTACCTGGCTTGCAGGCTCGATCCCCCACGCCAGTCTGCGCGTGTGTGGGAGGCAACCAATTGATATGTCTTTCTCACCTTGATGTTTCTCTCTCCCTGTCTCACTCTTTCTAAAAATATCAATGGTGTTCATATTTTCTGCCTATGTTTTAATTGGGTTTTCTTTTTATTGATATGTAAGAGGTCTTTATATATTATCAACACAAGTCCTCTTTCATAGAGGTGATTTCCAAATATTTTCTCCCAGCTTGTGGTTTGTCTTTTCAATTCTCTTAACAGTAGCTTTTGAAGAGCATAAGATTTCAATATTGATGAGGTCCAATTTTTCAGTTTGTTCTTTTATGGATTGTGGTTTAGTATCATATTTAAGAAATATTTGCCTTACCCACGTGTATAAAGGCTTTCTCCTATTTTTCCTTCCTGTTTTTATAACTTAAAATTTTACATTAAATCCATCATCTGGTTTGAATTAAATTTTGTATAGGATGTGAGGTGTGGACCTAAGTTCCTCCCTCCTTTCCTTTTTAAATGGGTCACCTATTGTAGCACCATTTTTTGAAAGCATGGTTCCTTTTCTACTGAGTTGCCTTTGCACCATTGCCTCAAATCAGTTGTCCATGTCTGTGGGGCCCAGCACTAGATTCTGTTTTGTTGCATTGATCTACTTGTCTATTTTGATGCCATTAACACACTGCCTTAATTGAAGCCATGTAGTGTCAGTCATCCTACTTTGTTTTTTGCCAAAATTGTTTAGGCCATTCTAGGTCCTTTGAATTTCCATGTGAATTTTAGAACCGATTTGTCAATTTCTACAAAACATATCCTAAGATTTTTATTGAGATTGTATTGAATCTGTAGATCAATTTTGGAATAACTGACATTGTAACTATATAGTCTTTTGACTCATGAACATTGTAAATGTATTCATTTATTTAGATCTTAACTTAGCAGTGTTTTATAATTTTTACTGTTTAGATCTCTTACACCTTTTCTCAGATTCATGTCTAAATATTTCATATTTTTGATGCTCTAATAAATAGTAAATTTCTAATTTTCAAAAAAATCAATGGAAAAAATATCCTCAGGCGAGAATTAACCAAAATATCCTCGGGCGAGAATTAATCAAAAACAAACCAACAAAACTCTAATCCTTCTAAGAACCATATGAGGTAAGTACTATCATCAGTCCCACTTTACAGAGAATGTATTTTTCCCAGGTCACACACTGTAAATGGTAGCATTGGGGTTTGAATGCAGGCAGTTTGCTCCCAGAATTCATGCACTTGGTTATGCTATGACAGGTGAGGTCCCCACCCAGGAATTCCAGCAACAGGCACAAGTCACTTCTTTTAAGGCACTTACCACCTAAATGCCATGGTTTGTTCACCTTTTTAAAGTTCCTTCTTAATTGCGAGCTCCCTAGGGCAGTGGTCGGCAAACCTCGGCTCTCGAGCCACATGTGGCTCTTTGGCCCCTTGAGTGTGGCTCTTCCACAAAATACCACGTGCGGGTGTCCAGTGCGATTGAAACTTCGTGGACCATGCGCAGAAGTCGGTTTCCAGCCTGGGCGAGTCTATTTTGAAGAAGTGGCTTTAGAAGAAGTGGGGGGGGGGCGGGCCGGGGGGATACACAGCGCGGGGGGGAAGAAGTGGCTTTAGAATTTGAAGGAGGGGGGCGGGCCGGGGGGATACACAGCGCGGGAGAGGTGTGCGCAATTCATGCACGAGTTGAGTGAGCCAGTCAGTCAGCAGTCTCATTGTGCAGTGGTTAGTGCTAGTCGCATCCGCAAATCGCGCGCCGGTGACAAAAGTACCTACTCGAAGCATAAAGTTACCTGTATTTTTCCAACCAGCTGCAAATCCTACAGGTATTTTTGTCATCAATTTAAGAATTGTAATTATTTTGTGTTGGTG